GGGCCCGCATGGCGGCCCCGCATTTTGGCGCACCCCTCACACGGTTCGTGGCCCCATAGGGAGCTCCACCGAAGGCCCCAGTGGCAGGGTCCGCATGGCGGCCCCGCATTTTGGCGCACCCCTCACACGGTTCGTGGCCCCACAGGGAGCTCCACCGTAGGCCCCAGTGGCGGGGTCCGCATGGCGGCCCCGCACCATTTTGGCGCACCCCTCACGCGGTTCGTGGCCCCATAGGGAGCTCCACCGTAGGCCCCAGTGGCAGGGTCCGCATGGCGGCCCCGCCCCATTTTGGCGCACCCCTCACACGGTTCGTGGCCCCATAGGGAGTTCCACCGAAGGCCCCAGCGGCAGGGTCCGCATGGCGGCCCCGCCCCATTTTGGCGCACCCTTCACGCGGCTCGTGGCCCCATAAGGGGGCTCCACCGAAAATGATGCCCACAATTGCGGTATTAACAATTGCTTATGGTTGGGTCTTTCGCCAGGGTAATTTTTAATAGCGCGCCCCAGCTTGTCCGCGAAGCTCGCGGGCCAATGTCACGCAATGCTTGATGGGGCCGGCCTTGGCAAAAGCCAGCGACTCGAGTGGTAGTGCACGTCGGCACGATTTGATCACGTTGGCCGCGGCGCCCCCGGTCGTCGCCCACTGCCTTAACCCGAGCGCGCCAGGAGCTCTTGAAATTCAAAAAGTAAAATCGTCAAATGTGCTATGGTGCACGTCTGGGATAGCAACCACCGTGTGGTTCGACTCTGCGCGAGGTAGGCCCGACCAGTACTCTGCGGACAAGATGCGGGTCGGAGTCGCATTGAATTCGAGCTCCTCGAGCCCGGTCGGCATGATGCCCAGCTCTTCCGCTGTGCGTTGAAGGCTAGCAAGCCACGCGCCTTGTCCTGTCGGCACGGGCAGTGGAGCCCAACGGACACGAGGCCTTCGAGCGGCCTTCGGCGGCATTGGTCTGCGGGACAAGGACGCCCTGAGAGGTTCTGGCTCAGGCTGTGAACGCACCCTGGCCAATACCGCTGCAGCTTTGTTCGGAGCCTTCGCCTTTGCTGTGGCCTCTGCGGGCCGCTTTGTTGCAATGCGGTGCCATGGCTGGAGCGCTGGGACCGTTCGGTGGGGCGATAGAATCTTGAGCCGATGCGCCTACTCCTACGTTGAGCCCATGCAGGAGTCGTGCTGGACAGGGCTCGCGCCGTTGGTCTACGTGCTGCCGTGCGCGGCGGAGGGTAGCGCATTGCTGCATTGCTCCTCCCAGAGCCGCGCGGAGCCGCGCTGTGATTTCGGTCTGGCATAGAGCTGCTGTGTGCGTTCGTCTGGGCTTCGCTGACGCAGCTGCATGCGCGTCGCGTATCCTAGATGCTCAGCAAGGAGGGCTGTCCCGGGGCCTTCGCAAACAATTTGGCAAACGAGCGTGCACGCAGTTGCGCGACTCAGCTTTGGCGCCAGAGCTCCCCCCATCAGCAGCTGCCTGTCCTCAGCTACTCGTTTGCATGGAACATGGGCGCAATCGCTTCTACCATGGTTTGCATGCACCCTCTCGCTCGCTCGAGGGACGCGCGTTGCGACAGAAGGGGCACCTGAAGTCGGCCACGGCTGCTGTAGTTGAGATCTCCGCGCCGCTCTGGACGAACCTCTCACAGAAACTGCGAGGCTCTGCCGGGCCAAGGCGCCGCTGCGAGCAGCGCAGGGTACATTCAGGGCAGAGCCGCCGTTGGCAGCAGCTTGTGCTCTGGAGCACGGCCTTGCTGCAGCCATGCAGCTTGCACCGTGTCTCGTCGCTCTGTGGACATTCCTGACGGCCTGTGCTTCTGGAGGCATCTATGCTTCTTGCCGCTGCGGTCGCGGCTTCATGCGCATGCGCGGGGTGTGGCCCGGCGCAGCTCTCATCCTCGGGGGCGCCCTGGAGCGGCATGCAGCCGCAGCGGGAATCGGTTGCTGCGGCTCTGGCCGGATGGAATGCCTTCCTAAGGTGTTGGGTGGAATCTACGGGGGTGGATTGAGCAAGATGGGCAGATTCCGGGCTGTGACCTGCAAGCGCAGATTACCGTCTCGCTCCACGGATGAAAGCGCTGCCAGCGCTGGGACATGCGCGCTTGCTGTGCACAACTCGTTTCTTTTGCCAGTGGCAGCGCAAACAAGGCACAGTATCCGTCGCGGCTGTGCTTTGCGTTGACCACAGCGGCCTCAGTCCGAGGCTATCGATCAGGCTGACCTTGCGCCAGTGGCTCCAGCAGAAGATGATGCTGCATACGTGGTCAGGAGGGTTTGACGCCGCTTGTTGCTTTCCCCTTCTGTCGCCACCATGCCCAGGAGGCGCTGAATGGTCTGTTGCATGACAGGCGTCGCCAACACCTCCTCCACTAGTGGCCTGTCATCTTCGAAATACGCGATAGGCCAATCTCCTTGAGCAGGAAGATCAGATGCTCCTCCGGGTTGTTCCCCCTGTACAGCTCGAGGCGCCGCTGCTCGAGCGTCTTGGAGAAGCATGCGCTGATCCGCGATATTTTCTTCTCCGGGAACTTCTCCTGGAGGAATGTAGTGACGGGCAAGCCGTATTCGCGCAATCGCTGCAGATCCGTCTCAGCATGGAGCTTTATGCCCAAGTCCAGCAGCTCATCCGGGCGACTTGGGAAGGCGCGGCTCATCTCGGTGCGGGGGCCATAATTCTAAGACCTTCTGCAGCTCTCGCTGCAGGGCTTGCAACTGTCCTGCGTAGGCGGCCTGCGCGGCTTTAATGCCCTGCTCGATGCCTGTCGCCACGGCATCGGTAAGCGCCTTCCTGAGCCACAGCGGCGCGCCCAACGCTTCATGCCAAGATCGCGTCGCGCCTTGGTCCTCCTTACCTGGATCCACGCAGCCCGGAAACTTGGCATCATCCGGACCACGGGGCGCGACGTCCAGAAATTTCGCAATCACTTCCTCACAAGCCTTGTTGAAGTCGCAAGTGCCTGGCAGCTGCGTAAGGATTTGAACCATCTCACTTGCGCTGGCCACGCGAACGGGCTTACTGTTGCCGCCCCAGTGGCCACCTTCTTGGTTCATGCACTTGCAGGAACCAAGCGGCTGAACCAGGACCTGGTCCGCCTCGGCACACTCTGGAACTTTGCCGGCGTCAAGGAGACGCTTGTAAATCTGACCTGCGTAGTTCTGGTCGTAATTCGTCACTGCTGCAAACACGCACTCCGAGGAGGAGGAGGAGGAGGAGGAGGAGGGGGGAGGAGGAGGAGGAGGAGGAGGAGGAGGAGGAGGAGGAGGAGGAGGAGGAGGAGGAGTAGCAGGAGGAGGAAGAGGAGGAGGGGGGGAGGAGGGGGAGGAAGAGGATGATGATGATGATGATGATGATGATGATGATGATGAGGAGGAGGAGGAGGAGGAGGAGGAGGAGGAGGAGGAGGAGGAGGAGGAGGAGGGATCGGATGGACCCGACTGCGGTCTCACAGATATTTCTGACCCCGGGGGACCAAGCCAAGCGCACAGATCGGCACACACTCCCAGACTTCCCCTGTTCTTGCCCCAAACATTCCTCTGGATGTTTCTCTTCCCCTCCATGTCCAATCCTTTTACCCAGCGCCGCGCGCCATTTGTTCTGAAAGTGCCCCAGTGGACAACGTCGACACCATGGCAAACCCCACGGCAAGCCCTGCGCCCCGCGCCCCGAGTAGACAAGGCGGGCACGGCGGCAAACCCCACGGCAAGCCCTGCGCCCGATGCGGAGTTTGCCCTGGTGGCCGAGGCGCCCACCCCGAGACGCAAGGCCGCGTGCCAGAATAAGCGGCGCGGCGACATCTTGTGAAGTGAGACGCAGCGCTTGGCTGTGCATCAGTGATTCGAAGGATTGCACAAGAAACGAAGGATTGCAAACAAAAACGAAGGGTTTTTTTTGCAACCCTTCGTTGCAATCCTCCGTTTTTTTGCAATCCCTCGTTTTTGTTGCGATCCTCCTGGGCGCGCCCCCGTCAGAGGCACCCGATGGGGGTCCCGCGAGGTGCTGCCGGAGGTGGCCAGGCGAAGGCCCCCCCCCCCCGGGCTGCTCCAGGGCAGCCGCACTGCGGAGATCCCGGGCCAGGGCCCGCCCACGGCAGCCCCCGCGCCGACGGCAGCCCGAGGGCGACGGGTGCCGAAGGGAGGGCGGGCCCCGGACCCCGGGGGTGCCCTGCTCGAGACCAAGCTCCGCCCGGGCTCTATACTTCTTCAGGGAGGTGCCCTGGGGCGCCTGCCCTCAGTGACCCTCCCCCCCCCCCCTCGGGGGGCCTCTCCGCTCCCCGGCGGCCCGAGGTCCCAGGCCCGATCCCGATCCGCGCCGCCCCGACCCGCACCACGGCGCGGCACCACCCCCTGGTCAGGCGCCCGGCGCCACGCCTCCCGGGTCCCGATCCGTCGGTGCGGTGTGACCGAGTAGCTCGCAGGCCGTGCTCGTGGGGTCTGCTCTGCCCCGCGCTGCCCAGGGAGGGGGGGGGGCACGGTTGAGCAGTGGGGAAGGAGGCGTATGAGGATGATAGGGGTGAGGCAGAAGGAGGACGGCGAGGATTAACATCCGTCGGCCGATTTTACGCACACATCTGTAAAGTGAGACATACGCTGTTCTCGAACACACTCGTGTGTCCCAGCATGGCTAAAACCTGCTAGAACATACGCTGTTCTCGAACACACTCGTATGTCCCAGCATGGCTAAAACCTGCTAGAACCACGCGGAGATGAGGAGCAACATGGGGGGGAGAAGGGAGGAAGAGAGATCCAGGGGGGGAAGGCAGAATGAGGTTAAGGATTGATGAGATGGGGGGGGGAGGGGGAGGATGGAGGCCGAGGGGATGGAGGAAGAGGGGGATGAGGGCGGAGGATGCATGAGAAGAGAGCTTGAGGAAGAAAGACCGAGCCCAACGTTGTAGCCGCCGCGACTGCCGCCGCCGTCGCCGTCGTTGTCGCCGCGGCTGCCGCCGTCGCCGCCACGGCTGTCGCCGCCGTCGGTTGGTCGATGGTCGTCGTTCGCCGTCGTCCCCCGAGCCCGCCGCACGGCACGGCCCCGCGGCGACCAGCTGCGCCAGCTGCTCGCTGAGCTCGCCGCTGGCCCAGGCCAGGTGCTCTCGCAGCTCGCGCAGGTCCTTGCTGCCGCCGGCGGCGCCGCCGCCGCCGTCCACCGTCGCCCTCGCCGCCGTCGCCGCCCGCCGCCGCCGTCGTCGCGCGTCGCGCCCAGCCTCCCCTCCCCTGGAGGTCCCGTGCTTCTTAAAGATTAGAAGCATGCTGTTATTGCTTAACGCTTCTTAAAGCGAGAAGAGCATTCTCACGCTTCTTCAAGTAAGCACATCAGGAATACATTGCATGATCGTTCACATAGCGTGCATAGCGCATGCGAACGACGCGTCATGTATACATTGACGCATGATCGGCCCCACTGGGAATTGTAGGTGTCCCGCGGCCAATGGAAACGCAGCGGATGCCGCAGCGGATGACTTGACGCAGCGTCAGAACGGCCGCTCTGCCGCTGCCAAAAAGTGCGGCATCGCAAAACGTCGCCACCAGAGCCCCAGACCCCATCTTTCTGCATCCTTTTCGAGCCAGATCGATCTGTGAGGGCCCCAGAGCCCGAAACTGGGCGACAACGCCAGGCTCGAAAACATCGAGACGTTAGCCCAGACATACGACGTCCTGTTTTTTTCGATCCGGGGTGCCCGGAAGGGATCGGCTTTTTAGCCGGAGCCGTTTTTTGACGACCCCGGGGGGCCCAATAGGGGCCTCCAGGGACGGCGAAACCTCCCGCACAGACCTTTCACGACGCCAGCTGTGAACAAAATCGCATCGCCTGGATCTCAGGGTTGCCGCCGCCACTACCGCCGCTGCTCTTGCCACCGCCGTCGCCGCCGCCGCTTGCACAGTTTCCTCCAGGGCCGTAGGCGACCCGAGGAGGAGGAGGATGAGAAGGAGGAAGAGGAGGAGAAAAAGAGGAGGATGAGGAGGATGAGGAGGAGGAGTACGAGGCGGAGGAGGGGAAGGGGGAGGAGATGGAGGAGGAGGAGGAGGAGGAGGAGGAGGAGAAGGAAGGAGGAGGAGGAGGAGGAGAAGGAGGAAAAAGAGGAGGAGGAGGAGGAGGAAAAAGAGAAGGAGGAGGAGGAGGAGGAGGAGGAGGAGGAGGAGGAGGAGGAAGAGGAGGATAGGAGGGGGAGGAGGAGGAGGGATCGGATGGACCAGACTGTCGTCTCACGGAGGAGGAGGGATCGGATGGAGGAGGACTGTCGTCTCACAGACTGTCGTCTCGCGGAGGATCGGAGGAGGAGGGGTCGGTTGGATCGGATAGGAGGAGTTGGAGGAGGAGGAGGAGGAGGAGGAGGAGGAAAAAGAGGAGGAGGAGGAGGAGGAGGAGGAGGAGGAGGAGGACGGGTCGCCTAAGCCCTTCGGAGAAAACCTCCACGCGGATCCTCGTCCCTCCGCGCGAGGCGCTCGCGGAGGCCCGCGACGGTGTCCCGCAGGTCCGCGTCCTCTGGCGGCGCCTCCTGCGCCCCCGCCGCCAGCTCATGGTCCTTGCGGGCGGCAGACACAGACCCAGAGACCCGACGTATTCAAAAAATCAAGACGGAGGTTTTGGCTGTTTTCGGCCTCCAAGGGCCTTCGCTGGGACCCGGGACCGTCAAGAAACGACTCAGGACGAAAAACCGGTCCTGGGGAATGGGTCGAGACTTCCAAGGACCCCGCATTGAAAAAAACACTAAAAACACGACGTCGGATCTGTGGGTACAGCGTGCCTGTATGATAAGGATGCAAGGGGCCCTGGAAAGCCATGGCGGCACTTTGCAAGCGGGCGCGGCCAGCGGAAGCGGCCAAGGATGGACCGAAGGGGAAGGATGCAGGGGTAACCTTGGAAGGTTGCTCATCCTTACTATGCGGGTTGGCTGTGCCCAAACATTCTCGTGTCATGAACAACTTTGAAGACGGGGAATTTCTAGCCGTTTTCCGTCTCTGGGGGACCTCACCAGACCCCAGGACCGTCAAACAACGACTCGGGATGAAACACCGGTCCTGGGGACAGGGTTGGGACCTCAGGAGACCCCGCACTGAAAGCATCAGGACATCGCATGTCTGGGTGTGGGCGGGATCAGGAGGAGGATTAAGAGGAGGAGGAGGAGGAAGAGGAGGAGGAGGAGGAGGAGGATTAAGAGGAGGAGGAGGAGGAGGAGGAGGAGGAGGAGGATTAAGAGGCGGAGGAGGAGGAGGAGGGAGGAGGAGGAGGAGGAGGAGGGAGGAGGGAGGAGGAGAAGGAGGAGGAGGAGGAGGAGGAGGACACGTAATGACGGCTTGGAACTTCTGCTCCGCGTGCCGCAGCGGCGGCTCCGGCGACACGCTCTGCCGTGCCATCGGACAACGCGTCGCTCCGCCTCGCGGGAAAAAAGCTGGTGAAAGCTCGGCGTGGATGCTCGGGAACTGGGATGTGGATATCGGATATGAGCGAGCAACGACATATGTACATGTACGCCCTCTGCGATCTTGAGTGCACGAACGTCCTCGTTCAAACGCCCTCCAGGGGAAGCTCACCGCGTACGTGTACATATGTTGCTGGCCTCTGAGGATACGGTGAGGGCATTGAATAAGGAAACCTTCGACAAGGAATCCAGGGCCTGGAAGCCAGTGGAAAGCTTATCGTGGATGGGCCATGGATATCACCGCCGCCCTTATCAGATAAGGAGTCCTCCAGGGTCTGGCGACTCCTGGGACTATTCCTTCACAAACGCCTCCACCGTAGCGGGTCGCGCTGAGGCGTGGTGGACCAGAACCGGCGGCGCGCCTAGGGGAACGAAGAATGACATAAACAGAAAAACTCGGAGGTCCGCGCTGATTTCTCAGATCGGCGCTGGACCGGAGCGCGCCAGGGGCGGCGCCGGATGCGCCGCCAGGGGGGTCCAGCGCGGATCCGAGAAACCAACGCGGACCTCCGAATTTTTCTGTTTATGTCATTTTCACTTCCCCTGGCGACACGCGAAGCCAAAGTTCCTGACTGCAGCCGCGGCTAGCGCTGCCCCTGAGGAGGACCGCCCGCCCGGACTTTCGGTCGGGGATCTTGGATCTCCGACCGAAAGTCTGGGCGGGGAAAGTCGGCTCGGGTTTGGCTCGGGCTCGGCTCGGCTCGGCTGACCCGGGCCAAGCCAAACCCGGGTCAGTCGGGCCTGCCAGGATCCTGCAAGATCCTGCTGGGATCCGCAGGGTCCTGGGCGCCAACCTGTTCAACGCCACCCTGGCGTAAGAGAATCCTGCAAGATCTGGCCTTCTGGCTGACCCCCGTTTGCGTTGACCCCCGTTTCATGGTTGCAGGATCCTCCAGGATCCTGCAAGATCCTGCACGCTCCTGCATGCTCCTGGGTAGCCCAGTCGAGGATACCCTGGCCTCGGAGAATCCTGCAAGATCTGGCGCTCTGGCTGACCCCCGTTTGCATGGACCCCCGTCTCACTGTTGCAAGATCCTGCAGGATCCTTCAGGATCCTGCAGGGTCCTGGGCTCTAGCCCGGTCAATGCCAACCACGTTTTGCAGGATACTGGAAGATCTGGGGCTCTGGCTCACCCCTGTTTGCATGGACCTCCGTCTCAAGATTGCAAAATCCTGCAAGATCCTGCAGGATCCTGCAAGGTCCTGGGCGCTAGCCCGGCAAATGCCACCGGGGCTCATGAGACAAGATTTGGCGCTCTGGCTTAACCCCCGTTTGCAGGGACACCGGTCCAAGGATGCAGGATCCTGCGAGGTCCCGGGCTCTAGCCCGATCAATGCCAGCCAGCCTTTGGAGCACGATCCTGCAAGATCTGGCGCTCTGGCTGACCCCTGTTTGCTTGGACCCCAGTCTCGAGGTTGCAGGATCCCCCAGGATCCTGCAACATCTTGCAACGTACTGCAGGGTCCTGGGCGCCAGCCTGGTCAATGCCAGCCAGCCTCTGCAAGATCCTGGCACTCTGGCTGACATCCGTTTGCACTCACAGTCGCAGGATCCTCCACGGACCTGCAAAACCCTGCTGGGATCCTGCAGGGTCCTGGCGCTAGCCTTGTCAATGCCAGCCAGACTTTGCGGGATCCTGCAAGTCCTGGCGCTCTGGCTGACCCCTGTTTGCATGGACCCCCGTCTCAAGGTTGCAGGATCCTCCAGGATCCTGCATGATCCTGCAGGGTCCTGGGCGCTAGCCTGGTCAATGCCACCTTGGTTTTGCAGGATACTGCAAGATCACTGGCTGACCCCCGTTTGCATGGACCCCCGTCTCACAGTTGCAGGATCCTGCAGGATCCTGCAGGATCCTGCAAGGTGCTGGGCGCTAGCGTGGTCAATGCCACCCTGGCTTTGCAGGATACTGCAGGATCTGGCGTTCTGGCTCGCCCGCGTTTGCATGGACCCCCGTCTCAAGGTTGCAGGATCCTCCAGGATCCTGCATGATCCTGCAGGCTCCTGGGCGCTAACCCGGTCAATGCCACCCTATTTTCAGGAGAAGATTGCATGATCTGCTCTGGCTGACTCCCGTTTGCATGGGCCCCCGTCTCAAGCTTGCAAGATCACCCCGGATCGTGCAAGATCCTGCTGGGTCCTGGGCGCTGGCCCTGTCAATGGCCACCCTGGCTCTGCACCTGCAAAACCTGGCGCTCTGGCTGACCCCTGTTTGCATGCACGCCCGTCTTCGCGTTGCAGGATCTTCCAAGATCCTGCAGGATCCTGCAAGCTCTGGGCGGCAACCTCCTCAATGCCACCGTGGTTCAGGAGAATCTTGCATGATCTGACACTCTGGCTGACTCCCGTTTGCATGGACCCCCGTCTCAAGGTTGCAAAATCCCCTAAGATCCTGCAAAATCCTGCCGGGTCCTGGGCGCTGGTCCTGTCAATGCCACTCTGGCTTTACAGGATCCTCCGCTCGCCCCCGTTTGCATGGACCCCCGTCTCAATGTTGCAGGATTTTCCAGGATCCTGTAAAATCCTGCAGGCTCCTGGGAGCTGGCCCTGTTAATGTCATCCTGGTGTATGAGAATCTTGCATGATCTGGCGCTCTGGCTGACTTCCGTTTGCGTGGGTCCCCGTCTGAGGGTTGCAGGATCCTCCAGGATCCTGCACGACCCTGCAGGCTCCTCCACGCTGGCCCTGTCAATGCCACCCTGGCTTTGGAGGATCCTGCAAGATCTGGCGCTCTGGCTGACCCCAGTTTGCATGGACCCCCCGTCTCAAAGTTTCAGCAGCCTCCTGGACCCTGCAAGACCCTGTAGGCTTCTGCCGGGTCCTGGGGCGCTAGCGGGGTCAATGCCACCCTGGCTTTGCAAGATCCTGATAGATCTGCCGCTCTGGCTGACCCCCGTTTGCATGCACCCCCCGTCTCAAGTTTTCAGCAGCCTCCAGGACCCTGCAAGATCCTGTAGGCTTCTGCAGGGTCCTGGGGCGCTAGCGGGGTCAATGCCACCCTGGCTTTGCAAGATCCTGCGAGATCTGCCGCTCTGGCTGACCCCCGTTTGCATGCACCCCCGTTTCAAGGCTCCGGCTTACAGGGGGAGGAGTGGGGGGAGTGAGAGGGGGGGGAGTGAGAAGGAGAGAAGGCCTTCTCCGAAGGCGGCGGGACTTCTCAGAAGCCCTCGCGCCTTCTGAGAGGCTTCTGCTGTCTCCGGGGAAGGCCCCGAAAATTGCCCAGCAGGCCGGAGGAATCCCAGAAGACTTCTGAGACGGCTTTCTCCCTCTCCCTTCCCTCGTTCGCCGCCGAGCTTTGGGTCGTGCACTCGGGCCTCCAGCGGCCGTCTCCGGGACGAGACCGGCACCCCCCGGGGAGCGCGCAAGTCGGCGAGGGCCGCCGCCAGAAGGCACCCCGGGGCGGAAGCGCTCGCAGATTTCGAGCCTCGAGCCCCCTCGCTCGAGCCCCCTGGGTCCCATGGCGTTTGCCCTTGAGAATTGGCACCACGAGCGCCCCGAGCGGGGCTATCGATCTATCGATCTACTCACCTATCTAGGTATCAATACTTATGTCGATGCCTACACTTATACATATATATATATATATATGTCTATATCTGTCTCTCTATACATTTATATATAACTCTACACATGTATAGATCTAGCTATGTATCCCTCTCTCTATATGTATATATGAATGCGGGCGCGACCGCAGGGAACCCTCGCAGGAAACCCAAGCCTGAAAACCTGCGCGGGAGGTGCACAGCACCCTGAGCGCAGCAGCTTTCTTAATGGCCGCGGGAAGTCACCGCGTGGCGCATGGGGCGAAGAAATCAAGGGTCACTGCACCGACCTTGTAGACGTGCTGCAGCGGATTTTTGAATGGACTCCTGTCACTGCAAAACCCCGAAGCAGCGAGCGAAAAACGAAGGGAATGTGCGGATTTGTCTGAAGTCTTCATTCCTGGCTCAGAAACTCCACACGAACTTCACTTCAACATCCGGAACGCAATTCTCATGACAATCTGGGCCCATCCCATTGTTTTCCGAACGTAATCCGCTCTGCGATGTTGGCGCCATAACAAGGGTACCCTGACGAAAAGCACTTGGTCGTTTGATGCGCGTCCCCACTGTTCGAGTAAGAGGATCGACTACAGAGCCGAATGAAACCCAAATTGATTTCCGCCAAGTCTACAAACACACTCCATCAACAATTTCACATATCTGCGATACCTCAGAACTGATTTTCAACACAATCCAGGATGCGTAACAGTTCCATAGATCTGCTGCCATCTTACATGTTTGGTGGAGGGCAGCTTTAGCTTGGGGCGCTGCACGTGAATTCTGTAGCCGATCCCCTCCTCGAGCTGCATCAGCCACAATACCCGACCTCACCGACGCCCCGAGCCGCCCGACCCCGACCCTGCGGCCGCGGCCGCGTGGGGTGTGCGCGCAGAGAGGGCGGCTCCGGGCGGGAGGCCCGCGCGGTGTGCCACCCCTGGGCCCGCGCACCCGCGGGGTCTGCCAACGGGGCGTTGGCGGGACTGGGCTTCGCGGGAGCTTGTTTCGTGATGTGCACGCGGGGGCGCGGCCCGCCCGCGCCAGCCCACTGGCCAGACCGGGCCGCCACCCGAAGGAGCACCATCTGCACGGCAGACGTGGTGCAGTGACTCTGGCCCATGCTCTGGGGTTAGGTCGGGCGTGTCCCCCGACAGGCAGAATTTGGAAGACAAATAAAACGTGGACAAAACGTATGCCACACATGATCAACACATCGTACAACAATTGTTCCGTTCTATCTTTTGTGTGACTATTTTTGGATACTCCCCCGTGGAGGGACATGCCCGACTTCATTCTGGGGCCTCGGGCCCCCAGTCTCGGGGGCGCCCGAGAGGGGGGCCAACAGAGGGGGCTCCTCGCCCAACCATGGTCCGAGGCGCGTGCGCGGCCCTCGGAAGGGGGAGGGGGGGGGCCAAAGAGCGCCCTGCAACAGGAGGAGGGCCCGTGAACTCTGGGGAGGTGCCGTGGCCCCCGCACCACGACATCCCCCCCCACCCAGTAGTCACCAACCCCGCCTCGGCCGCCCTCGAGGAGCACTCGGCGGCTCCCCTTCGCCAAAGCCCTGGCTATGCGTAATCCGATGCCCCGAGCCGCCCGACCCGGGCCCTGCGGCCGCGGCCGCGTGGGGCGTTGTGCGCAGGGAGGGCGGCTCCGGGCGGGAGGCCCGCGCGGTGTGCCACCCCTCGGCCCGCGCGTCCACGGGACACACGGGGGGCCCGACCACACTAGTCCCTCCACAGGAAGCCCAACCCTGAGACCCCAGGAGGTCCATGGGTTTTTGGTGTGGGAGCGTCCCGCTTTCCGCAGCAGGACCATCGAAACCCAAGAAACCCAGGGCACCCTGAAGGCAAGCAGGGTATTTCTTGGCATGGGTCTCCACTGTGCTGGGCCTCGGGACTGTCAGAAAACGATTCTTCTACTGCAAAGCGCCGCGCCCGACGGTGCCACGCGCAGAGGGCGACGCCACTACTGTCGCTGGTGCTCAAAAGCGGCGCCCTCTCACACATGCGCAGCACCCAGGACGAAACACCAGCCCGGGGGGGACGGTCGAGACCTCGAGGGGGCGACGCTGTGAACAATTCGTGATGCAGGGGGTCTGGGCTTGGGGGGGGTCCCTCATGGGCCCCAGGTCCGACCAGATCTGGCGCGCTTGCCCAAGACGCCGACCGCAGCATACCCATTTCGGGGATGGACAGACCCCCCTTTAGCACAACGTGGTTTAGTGCAAATAACCTGAGGCCCAAACCTGGCGGGCGCAAGCCTGGAAAATAACGGCCGCGGCGCCCTCTCGAGAACCGAAAACGGACAATTCACTAATCGACGTGTCACTGTTGGGGGTTCTGTCCGTCCCCGACCATTGCACTTCGACGTTCTGGCGGTCGCTTATCCGGATGAGCATCTCCAGGGAGCCCACACAAGATGTACGCGCCCAGCTATGTACATCAACACGGCCCCTTGACCCGCGAGACCTGCCGCGTGATACGAACACTCGCGCAATGCGAGCTCTCGAAACCAGCGTGGATGCATGTACGTGTACGTCCTTCTTTCGCTCCTGAATGTTCGTTGCCCGTGCACTGAGTAGTGCCGACCGTCTCGGCATCCCTAGACAGGCGTACCACGACGTGCTCTCAGGACAAAGAGGATGGCATAACAACAGAAACGATGCCCCGATATACCGACATATTAAAACAAAACTGTCTCGCCCAGAAATGTTCTAAGAACGTTCCGTGCAAACCGAAAGTCAACGATTGGAGGCCAGCAGGAGGGTCTGAGCTGGTTGGGACCCCAGAAAATCGGTGTGGAGGGGTGAGGCCAAGTCCGCTCAAAATCAATCCCTGGACGCCTCCCGGGGTCCATCTGGTGCAATTCTTCACCCAGGATCAGTTTTTCTTCATCCTGGGACCCGAAAGCGGTCCCAGAGAACGAACAGGGCAAAAAACCTTCCCGAACCCAGAATCCAGAACCTCGAACCTGCGTGCCCTTTCTGCTCGCTGGAGCCAATGCTGGGACACCTCAGACCCCCAGACGGCTCCAAACACGAGATAACGGGAAGCGCCTTCTCGGAACGAGAAGGCGATAGGAATTTGTTAGGCCATGCTGAATAAAGAACAGATGAAGAACAAACTCGCGAGGGACAACCCGCTCGCGATCGCAAAAGGTTGTTCTGCTTGGCGGATTCACCCCAAAATGGGCGCTTCGCTCGAGACGTCCTGGAAACATTGAGATGTTGAAATCGTATGTTTGAGACGCCTTCCGTTAAACATGGAGCTCTCGCTCGCGGCATCCTCGAACAATGAGCTACTGAGCTCGCTCGCGAAATCTAACGACTAGTTCGGCCATGCGAGTCCCAAACTGGGCGGGTTAAAACTGCCACGCGGCTTAAAACGTCAAGCATGACAGGTGATCATCATCATCATCATCATCATCATCATCATCATCATCATCATCATCAGCAGCATCATCGCCATCATCATCACCACCATCAGCATCATCAGCATTCGCTGGAGCATTATCATCATGATCGCCAGACTCATGGACATTCTCAGCGTCATCGCCGTCGTCACCATCATCGTCAGTGTCATTGCCATCGTTGACTGCCACACGACGCAATACACGACGCATACAACACACAGAACACATGACACACCCCCAGCACGCAAATGGCCATACAGAGACGTACACCACGCACAGACCATTCTCATGCCGCACATCCCCCCGCCCGTCACCCCCAGAACACATCCCGCACGCCCACCGTAACGCCCCCCGCCCGTCGCCCACATAACGCACCCCGCACGCCCACCGTGCATCCCCCCGCCCGTCCCCCCCAAAGCACACCCCGCACGCACGCCGTACTCCCCCCGTCCCGCCCGCCCAGCACACACCCTGCACGCACAACCGCACACACGCACGCATCCGCACACAAGCACACTCAGACACACAAGCACACGCACACACACACACACACGCACACACACACACACACACACACACACACACACACACACACACACACACACACACACACACACGCACACGCACACACGAGCTCAGGCCACGCGCAACCCCTGCCCAAAGCAAGCGCAGGCAACGACTAAACATAAACTACCAATGGCAACCATCTGGGCATGCAGGGGATCCCAACGATTACACCCCATGCGCACGCAAGCTGAGAGAAGCGGCGCGAGTCGTTCTTGTCCGGAAAGGTTAGTCACAGAAAAACCGTCATGAACACAAACTTTTGGCGCTCCGCGCAGATTTCCTGGATCTGCGCTGGACCCCCTCCCTGTCGCGCGGAGCGCGCCAGGGGCGGCGCCAGAGGCGCCGCCCAGCCCGGGGGAACCCAGCGCGGATCCAAGAACTCCGCGCGGAGCGCCAGCAATTTTATGGCGTTTTCTCTCCTTCGAAGCACGAGATTCTATCACATTCTCGGGTGAACCTATATTAGGGAGACGTAAGACTCGGGTTGGGGGGACTTGGGTTGCCCCGACGGGGCCATCATAACAATAACGCGACCCAGTCTGAAATTTGTCGCGGGATCCCGCTGCAGGCATCCCAGGAAAACGAGACCGTCAAAATCCAAGACGCGCTCGTCAAAACACGTCGGCAAGCCCAAGTTCTGGCTTACCCAAGTCTCACTTTTCCCCGATCGAAGCACGAGATTCTATCACATTCTCGGGTGAGCCTGTGGACAAATCGGCGACGTTTTCTCGCTGCTTGAGTGAACGGGGTGGCCCGGAGAGTGCTGCTCGGCTCCGGGGCCAACAGGCCCGTGCTGGGGTAATGAGGAGGACGAGTGGAGAAGACACCGAGCGGAAGGCAAAAGAGACACGCAGAGGGAGGGGGAGGAAGGGCCACAATTATGATGTTCCAACCTATTTTTAGCCTTGACTGCCAGAAAGAATTTCGAGCACCAAAGCAGTACCCAAACTTGAGGGTTTTCACATGTCGGGCTCTGGGAGACACTCGTCCGACACTGTTTCGACACTTTTCCGGGTGCTCGAAATGATTTCTGGGATGTGGTCCTAAGTACGATGGGAGCAACATAAGGCCAGATATAGAAGAAGAAACACCGTCATAAACATAAACTGTTGGCTCTCCGCGCGGACTTCTTGGATCCGCGCCGGGACCCCCCTCCATGTCGCGCGAAGCGCGCCATGTGCAGCGCCAGAGGCACCGCCGACGGGGGGCCTAGGCGCCGATCCAAGCAATCCGCGCGGAGCGCCACAGGTTTAAGTTTACGGCGTCCTCTTCTTCTTCGGCAGAGGGAAGGAAGAAGAAGCAAGCGGAAGGAGGGGGGAGGAAGGACCAGAGGGAGGGAACGGGGAGGGACGGCAGGCGGGGGAAACAAAGCAGAGACGTCCGCCATGCCGGCCAGCTGCTCCAGCCCCGCGACCTCGGCGTGGAGCCCGTGGAGCTCCTCGTCCAGGCTCCCGAACAGGGCGCCGTCCGCCGCGAACGGATCCAGCTCCCGCGCGCGGGCCTCCACCGCCGCCAGGCGCTCGTCGATGGAGCACGGCCTGGCGGCCAGGGGCGACGCCTCAGCGGAAGAACGAAGGCCCAGAGAGGCTCGCGTCCGGAGCAACAACAAACAGGACGGGACGCTCTCCGCCGTTTTCGGCCCTGTGAGGGCCCTCGCCGGGCCCCGGGGCCCCGAGAAAACGACCCAGGATGAAAACCTGGCCCTGGAGAGAGGGGCGGGACTTTTTGGGGACCGCGTATGGAACAAACCAGAACGTCGCATGTCTGGGACTGCATCGACACAAGCTTTCCGAGCTCCGCGCGGATCTCTCGGACCGGCGCTGAACCCCCCTGAGCAGCGCATCTGGCGCCGCCCCTGGCGCGCTCAGGGGGCCCAGCGCCGAACCGAGACATCCGCGCGGAGCTCCGACAGTGCATGTTTATGCGACGTGGCACCAAAAATGCCTGGAGCCCTCGGCCCCATCTTTCTGCGCCAATTCTCGAGCTGCATCGATCTGTGAGGGCTCCGGGGCCAAAAAAACGTGGCGAAAACGTCCGTTGCGAAAAAATGGCAGCGCCACGATCTCACGGAGTGCTCGGCTCCCAAGATCCTGGTCGCCGCCCTCGCCCTCGGCGCCCTCGACGGGGATGCCAGCCACCTCCGCCCGCAGCCGCGCCTGGCGCGCTCAGGGGGGGTCCAGCGCCGATCCGAGAAACATTTGCGCGGAGGTCCGAAAGTGTATGTTTGTGCAGTGTTCGGTTCCCTGGGTCCTGGCCGCCGCTCTCTCCCTCGGTGCCCTCGACGGGGATGCCGGCCACCTGTGATAAGCTTAAGAAAAGGACTCCTAGCCCTTTGGGAGGGGGCCTTTACGTTAAGAGGGCCAAGCACATCGAGGATAAGGGGGTTTCTTCTGCGGATGTCTCAGACCAGACCGCCCAGATTCATTGTCCCTATTGCGAGGACGGGGACCTCAGTGAGGCCACGTCTGCCATTAGGGTTAGGGGTTCTATAGATTTAGGTCGGGCATGTCCTCCTGCAGGCGGATGGTGGAAGACAAGCGAAACATCATCAAAACATAATCGAACATACTCAGAAATAGTCGAAACATCGTCCCCAGACTTTTTGACTTTTTGTTCGAATATCCCTCCTGTAAAGGGACATGTCCGACTTAACTTTAGTTCTTGATGAGCCTTCCCCGAAGACAGAAACAACAACTCCTCGGAAAGGCTCGAGTGGGCTTCTGAGAAGTCCCGCCGCCTTCTGAGAACGCCTTCTCCTTCTCACTTCCGCTCCTCGCTCGCCACTGATCTTCATCGTGATATAATGGACGAAGAAAAAACGCCGTAAACATAAACTTTGGGCGCTCCGCCTGGACTTCTTGGATCTGCGCTGGACCCTCTCCCTGGCGCGCGGATCGCGCCAGGGACGGCGCCTGAGGCGCCGCCAGGTGGACCCCGGCGCGGATCCAAGAAACCCGCGCGGAGTGCCAACAGTTTGTTATAGTGGCGTTTCTTTTTCACTCTTTGACATCTGTTAACTAGGGTTAGGGGTTCTTCCGTTCCTGACGAACCTTCGCCCCGTAAAGAGGACGGAAAAGGTGAAGCCACTCGACCATTGAAGTAGGAAGGCGCCCCAAGTAGACTGGAATCTGGGCATCCAGAAAATACCTACTTTCAACGACCGATGGGTAGGGGGCTCTTCCGTTCCTGACGAACCTTCGCCCCCTAAAGAGTACGGAAAAGGTGAAACCACTCGATCATTGAAGTAGGAAGGCGCCCCAAGTAGATTGGAACCTGGGCATCCCAGAATACCTACCTTTAACGACCGATGGGTAGGGGGCTCTTCCGTTCTTGACGAACCTTCGCCCCCTAAAGAGAACGGAAAAGGTGAAGCCACTCGGTCATTGAACATATTGGAATCTGAGCACCCAAAAAATACCTACATTCAACGACTGATGGGTAAGGGGCTCTTCCGTTCTTGCTTTTGGGTGACCCAAAAGGGTGTCCAGCTGAAAGGGGGTGGTGAACTAGATTTGGGGCAATTGTATTGCAAATGTATTGCGCCGGAGAATGGTATTGCATTGCGCTGCAAGTAATGGTATTGCACGCGAAAATCCAGCAATACCTTTGCGCCCCGGAATGTATTGTACGCCCCGCCTGTACTGCAACCCCACACATCTGTTGCACCAGATCCATTGCACCACCCCCTCGTGGCTGGACCCCCTTCTGTGTCAACCCGATTGACAAACCTTCGCCCGCAGCCGCGCTATCCTCCGGTCGAGCCCCGCGCCGCCCTCCGGCGGAGGCGGGCCGTCCCCCGGCAGGCGCCCCGCGCCGCCGCGGGGCGCCCCCGCGAGCAGGCCCTCCGCGGCAGCCCGGGCGGCGGCGTCGTCGGGGCCGTCGCGCAGCCGGCAGTGCAGCTCCTGCAGGGGAAGCACACGGCCTCGAGAGCCCCTCGGGTCGTGACAAAACCGCCTCGGGAGGTCTTCGCTATCTTGGGCCTCCGGGGGCCCTCGCCGGGCCTCGGGGCCGTCAAACAACGACTCAGGATGAAAAACGGGTCCCGGGGAATGGGTCGAGACCTCCAGGGTCGACGTTATGAACAAATCGTGAGGTCGGGGGTCAGGGATTGAATATGCCTGGAAGAGCCGAGAGGAGAGCGGGGGGAAGAGAAGGAGAAGGAGAAGGAGAAGGGAGTTGGCGACCCCACTGCTCCATTCACAACGAGAGCGCAACCAAGGGAGAGTTGGGATAAACCTCGAGCCCCCAAGGTGAGCGTTTTTTTATTCGGCGTTTCAACATTGGGCGGAAGGGGGGAGGAGGGGGGGTTCTGGCTCTGGACCTCTGCTTAGTGCGGCTGTTTGGAACCGTGCGTCCTATGGGGGAGGGACTCCACCTGCTCGAGACAGGCGCCCAAAACAGCCAAGATCTACTCCGTTGGGGGGTGGAAGGGGGGGGGTTGGGTGCCCGCGCCGATCGGCAAAACAATGCATGCAGAAACGATCACAAACCCTCGAGCCTCTTCCCCCCCTTCCGGCTGGCCGGAACCACTGCTGGGACACCTCAGACCTGAAATATGCCTAAAGGCCAGGTCTACGAGGGTCGGGGCGCAGGGCGCCCGGGAGGCGTGCCACTTTCCTTTTCAATCTGCGGTGTCTTTTTGGGATCGACCGGCCGCGATGGGCGACGCGCCAACACCTCGAGAGCTGCACCGACGACCAGGGAGCAAAGTTGCCAGTTTTTCCTGCGCGCAGCTCTATGGAAAGGCAGGGGACCTGGACCAGGCAGAAGCATCCTTTCTCCAGGGGCCGCGCGGACTTCTTGGCTGGATCGGCGCGGGGCCCCCTCCCCGGCGCAGGAGGCGCCGCCAGAGGGGGGCGCCCGGGCGCCGGTCAAAACGAGCTCGGCGCGGACCGCCGAGAAATGACAATCGTCGCGACGTGCCCTGTGCTCTTCTCGGGTCGGGCGAAAGGGGGGGATAGCAAAGGGGGGGTTTGAGAATCAGCTCACGTAGCTGATTTTCCCGGCGCCTCCCGGCGCCGGAGGCGGCTATGTATCGAGGAATGGGCCCCTCGGCGAGGCCGAAACCAGCTGCATGCAGCAAATTTCGTAACCCCCCCTTTCCCAATCCCCCCCTTTCGCCCGACCCGAGTGCCCTGTGCTCTTCGAGCTCGCCTGCACCGCCGCCAGGCGCTCGCGCAGCTGCCAGACCTCGTCGTCCCTGTTCCGCAGCTGCAGCGCCAGCTGCCGGGCCAGCTGCCGCAGCCGCCAGCGCTCCGGCCGCTGCTCCTCCGGCTCCCCAGGCCCCCGACGTCAAGGCTTTTCCTTTCGACGCCCGAAGTGGGTACGGAACATATGCAAGGGCTCCCAACTTCGCGCTTCGCGCTCCGCGAAGCGCGAAGCGCGAATAACTTCGCGCTCTCGCGCCGCCCCCCCAAAGGGAGAAGAGGAGGACGAGGAGGAGGGGGAGAAGGAACGAGGACCGCGAAGCGCGAAGCGCGAATAACTTCGCGCCCTCGAGGGAGCCCTTGCATATGGGAACACTGCCCAACGACAACTGGTGTCCAAAACCGACAGCGGCCGCTGTTGGGCAGGCGGCCTTCTGTGCTCACGGGGCAACGTCTGTGGCGGCGCGGACCTGCTCAAAATGAACAGGAATATCTGTTGGGCATCGTGCCCAATCTTTTCGTACCCATTCCGATCGCCCCGCTTTTCAAATCGCTGCCCCATTTTCCCCGGGACCGGCTTCTTGTCTGGAGCCGCTTTTGGACGCTCCCGAGGCCCGGTGAGGGCCCCCACCGGCCCGAACGAGCGAAAAACCTGCCGTCGTGCTTGCTTCGTGGCCCGAGGGGGTCCGGCTCTGGCCGCGGCGGCGGCTCCGGCAGGAATCCCTGTGGACCCGCGCGGCGCGGCGACGCAGGCAGCTGCCGCGCCGCTGCCGCCGGCGGCGGCGGCGGCGGGCCCTTCGAAGGGGGAGGGTGGAGGAGTCGATGGCAAGACTTTTTCATGACGTGGTCACCTGGAGGTCTCGACACGCCAGGGAAGCCAAACATCTTCGAGCTTCGCGCTCCGCGAAGCGCGATGGTCTTCGCGCTTTCACGCCGCCCCGCTCCCCCGGAACAGGATGAAGGACTCGCGCCTGGCTCTGAAATCGCCCAGACCGCGAAGCGCGACTACCTTCGCACCCTCGTGGTGGCCCTTGACCCATTGCCCGGGACCAGTTTAAGACGAAGCCAGGGCGAGAATAACATCGGGTGATGATATGTCGAGAATATAAGAGATCTGGCGGCTATGAGGATGTCTCGAGCGCCGCGGCCCTCCCGGAACGCTCTGAGAGCGTTCTGGAACGCTCTGGCGTCGACGTCATGATGTTTCCATGACGTGGACACCCTCGGGCGGGTGGTAAATGGGGGAGGGCCCCACATGGGGTCCTTTAGAACCACTTTTGTGCCCCTGCTGGCTCCAAAAGGGGCCCTGGGGTCCCTTTTGTGCTCTTGTCTCCGACGTACGCGCCCAACCACGTACATGAATACGGCCCCCCCAATCCGCTAGACCAGCCTCGGAACGCTCGCGCAAGGCGCACACTCAAAACCGCCGTCGACCCGCGCACGTGCACGTCAGCCTCTCGCTCCTGACTGCTCCCCGGGACAGGCATGTTCCTCCTGAGAGTCGTTTGTGGGCGGTGCACGGGGCCCAGCGAGGGCCCCCGGAGGCCGAGGAGTGGCAGAAAGCCTCCCATCGTGATTCTTGACATGGCCCCAGGGGGCCAAGAGGGGTGAGGCCAAGAGGGGGGCGTCCAGGAGGGGGGGCGCAATCATGGCCGGCGGCATGTGCGCGGCCCAGGGGCGGGGCAAGGGACGCAACGAAGTAAGAAGAGGCGCCCTGAAATTTGTAAATAAGTCATGGCCCCCCCGCCCTGATATCCCCCCCCCAGTCATCGCCCCCCTCTTTGCCGCTCCCGAATCCTGAGTCGTTTGTGGACGGTCCCCGGGGCCCGGCGAGGGCCCTCGCGAGGGCCGAGGAACGGCAGAAACCTCCCGTCGTGATTCCTGCCAGTGGCCCCAGGCCCAGACCCCCGACGTCGTGATTTCTTCACAACGTCGATCACCAAAGGCCTGGACCCCGGACACCTTCCCCGGGACCGGTTTTCCACCCTGCGTCGTTTTCTGACGGCCCCGAGGCCTGGGGAGGGCCCCGGGAAGCCGGAAACTAGCGAAAAGCCTCCCGTCGTGACTTCTTCCGCGGCGCGGGGGGTCTGCAGGGGCGCCAGCCGCCGCGCCGCCTGCTGCGCGGGTGGTGGCCGCGGCGGGCTCGCCAGCGGCGGCGGCGAGCCCTCGCGGCTCGCCGGCGCCGCTCCGCGGGGCCCTCCGCGGAGGCGCGGGGCCTCCGCGCGGCTCCCCGCCCAGGGCCCGCCTGCCGCGGGCGCGGGGCCGCCAGGATCGCGGCTGGGCGCGCCGCCTGGAGGCGGGGGCTCCCCGCCCAGACAGCGGGCGTCTCGCAAAAATCGAGACAGAGTTTTGTCGTAATTCGTTTTGGGCCTCTCGGGGCCCTCCCCGGGCCTCGGGGCCGTCCACAAAACGACTCGGGACGAAGGAGCGGCCCCGGGGAGATGGTCGGGTGTCTCGACAAAATCGAGACGCCAGATATCCGGGCAGACATGGCCGCGTCGTGCGCCAATCACGACGGGAAGTTTTTGGCCACGTCCGGCCTGCTCGCAGAGGAAACGAGCCCCTCTCGCCCTCAAAAAACAACGGGACTGGCGATCTCTCGCCGCAGTCGGCCCCTGGGGGCCCTCGTCGGGCCCTGGGACCGTCGCAAAGACGACTCGGGATCAAAGGCCAACCATTGGGAACGGGTCGGGACTCCGGGGGCCGTGCATGGAGCAAATCCGTTTTCTGGTTTGTTGATATATGGTCCAGGGTTTGGGCCCCCCCCCCAATGCTGATGCCATTGGGGCCCCCCCCCGCGCGATGGTCCCCCCCGCCCCCCCCTGTGGGCGTGGCGTGGTACTGCGCTGCGGTTCCCCCCCCCCCCCCTGTGGATGTGGTGTGGTGCTGTGGTGGTTCAGAGGTGGGCGTGGCGTGGTGTTGCACTGCGGTGCCCCCCTCCCCCCCCTGTGGATGTGGTGTGGTGCTGTGGTGGTTCAGAGGTCGTCGTCGTCGTCGTCCTCGTCGTCCTCGTCGTCGTCGTCGTCGTCCTCGTCGTCGTCGTCGTCGTCGTCGTCGTCGTCATCGTCGTCGTCGCCGTCGTCATCGTCGTCATCGTCGTCGTCGCCGCCGCCGCCAGCGTCGTCGCCGCCGCAGCCGTCGTTGTCGTCGTCGTGGTCGTCGTCGTCGTCGTCGCCGTCGTCGTCGTCGCCGTCGTCGTCGTCGTCGTCGTCGTCGTCGCCGCCGCCGCCGCCGCCGCCGCCGCCGCCGCCGTCGTCGTCGTCGTCGTCGTCGTCGTCGTCGTCGTCGTCGTCGTCGTCGTCGTCGTCGTCGTCGTCGTCGTCGTCGTCGTCTCTGGGACCATACCATCTGGGGGGGGGGGGCGAGGAATCCTGGGACCATACCATCTGGGGGGGGGGCCCGTGGGCCCTCGACCCTGGATCATATATGTATTTATCGATGTATATATTGCTTTTTACATATAATTATATAGGAGAGAAAATATAGAAGCCATATGTATATACATTAAAAAATAATTATAACATACGGAACATAGGTATGTATGTATATTTATGTATCTATAGATGTACAGTTATTAAACAGATGTTCGATCTCTCGGGTGTTGACGGGCCTCGGGACCCTCAAACAACGGATCGGGATGCAAAGTCGGTCCCGGGGGAGTGGTCGAGAGGTCGGGGACCCGTCTCGAAAAACATCGAGACGCCGAACGTCTGCGTAACTATCCTACTAAGAAGGGCGTGCTGGTTGGGTCTGAGGGCCTCGGTTACCCGGACACCCCTGCAGCACGGGGCCTTCGCCGACAGGAGCAGGAAGAGAATAGAAGGGGGGAGGGACGGGGGTCCTCCTCATAGCATTTAGTCTAATCTCCGCTAACCCTGCGCAGTTTGTGCAGTGCCGGGGTCTGCGGCCCATCTTCCCATCTCACCATCAATGGGGAATCGGAAACTCTGAACACGGGACGGGAAGGGCACGAATGGGCATCATGGCTGGGTCAAAATCAAAGGAGGCATCATAACCTCATCATGGACAGCTCTCCTCTTGGCATTGTTTTCAGGCGTAGCAGCATGATCTCCCCTCGAATCACGAACTAATTTCGGCGCAAAGTATTTCTCCGCTTTCGGCCTCTGAGGGCCCTTACTGGGCCCCGGGATGAGGAGGAGGAGGAGAAACAGAAGGACGAGGAGGAGGAGGAGGAGGACAGGGAGGAGGAAGAGGAGGAGGAAGAGGGGAGGGAGCGATGAAGATGATGATGATGATGATGCTGATGCTGATGATGATTATGATTATGATGATGCTGCTGATGATGCTGCTGATGAGGATGATGCTGATGATGATGAAGATGATGAAGACGATGCTGATTTTGATGCTGCTGATGTGGAGGAGGAGGAGGAGGAGAAGGAGGAGGAGGAGGAGGAGGAGGAGGAGAAAGAGCGAGGAGGAGGAGGAGGACCAACCGTCGGACCGAGGACCATCCCCTCGGCCGACAACTGCAGTGCACCAACCACCCCATCCAGGCGGCCAGCGAGGCCAGACGGGGCAAGCCCCCATCGACCCGACCGACCCGCCCCCAAGAGACGAGCCCAGCAGAAGGCGAACCAGACGACCAGCCACTTTGGCCCAAAGGCGCCGCATCAATTTTCTCATGAAGCGCCTAACGAGGAGCCCCACCAGGAGGCCAGCCGACGTCAGCAGCAGCAAGGACTGCAGCTGCCGCAGCAGCAAGGACTGCAGCAACCTGAGGAGCAGCACCAAGACTTACTTCGCAGGCCACCATCGGATGGACCTCGGAGACTCCCCGAGGCCGGCCTCTCTGCATCGCCATACTCTCCTCCTGGAGAGTACCACAGGACCTCCAGCGGCCCACCAGAGGCCAAGCCAGCCAACGCCACGGGACCAACAGCTGCGCCACTGCAGATGCCCTTGATGCGCAGCCAAGCGGCGCAGACGCCCAGAGGAGCCGACGCAGCACCAACCGTCCCTGAGGCAGCCAACTGCATAGATCCACGAGAGATCTACGACATCGAAGCCACATACCTAGACGCCAAGCATACCGACAGGGGACGTGCCATGCAACCCTTCCGATCTCGAACCACTGCTATCCACCTCCCCCCAACATCGACGCGACTGTCCGACGCCCACGCACATACACATACTGCTGGCCAGAGTCTACATCGAGCAAAAGGGAAGGCCACTCAACCATTCAGAGCCACCAGTTTCAAGCCCCCAGCACCACCCAACCAGCCAACGACATCACCCGGCATGCCACCCCCGCTGCCAGAGCAGCGCAGGGTACAATCCGACGAGCGACCAACCATACGACAAACAATACAGCAATCACCATCTCCCTACATAATTGTTGACCTCTGCGACGAGTGCCTCAACGAGACAGCCGACTACATGCTCCGTCACCACCCACAACGACCACTCCAGGAAGGAGCAAAGATCCATCTCTTCACGGACGGCCCCAAAAACCCGAAGAAACCGAGCGACGATGCCTGGTCCGTTGTGATCGTAGGTGACGACAACCACGGTTTCAGCTTCCAGGGGGCCATCATAGGGAAGCGCAAGAGCGGCACTGACATCGCCCTCAAGGATAACGTCGAGCACGAGACCACCTCCACGACCGTCGAGATCACAGCCCTGATCTGGGCCTTCGCCTGGGTGATACACTACAACCCCCTTCACATCACCACGATATCCACGGACTCGCTCGGCGCTCTGCAGCTCGCGAAGAGGCTAGCCTTCACCGACCGCGACCCCAAGCTCGTCAGGACACTCTGCATTCTCTACGACATGGTCAGCAACAAGATCGACCTGCAGCACGTCCACGCCCACGACTACAACCCGTGGAACGAGGTTGCCGACGCCGCCGCCAACCACGGACGCCTGCGAGAAGTTATGCCTCCTCAGCCAGAGTGGGCAAGCGTCATGGATGGCGCATCCCAGCGGGACTTGGAGTTCCTGATCGACGCGGATCCCAACACTAGGGAGGCATACCCCGCATTCGGCCACGGCAGCCTCACTGCTAACAGGGTCGAGACAACAGCCGAGGCCCGACACTTTCACAACCCCACCGAGTCCAGCGACAAGAAGATTCTCGTAGAAATAAACACAGCCACCTTCAACATCCAGTCGGGGAGAGAGCCAAAGGAAGGATCGAAGCGCCGAAAAGAGAAGGTCACTAAGCTTAAGTCCAAGATGGCCTGCCTGTGCGACGAGGACCTCCATACCATTGGTATCCAGGAGGCAAGGACGCCCTGGGGCGTCCGCGACGCAGGACAAGACGACGACGCCAGATGCGCCAACGCCAACTGCTACCACATCATCTCCAGCGGCCACAAAGGGTTCAACTACGGCTGCGAGCTTCACGTTCTACTCAGCAAACCCTACGGCAAGAGCGGTAAAAAAGGAGCTCGTCTTCAAACCTGACCAGTTCACAGTCATCGTCAAGGACCCCAGGCTCCTTATCGTTCGCGTTGCCGCCCCTGGCCTCAACCACGCGCTTGCCGTCGCCCATTCCCCGCGCTCGAAGGCCCTCGCGACCGAAAAGGATAGCTACTGGAAGAAGCTCGCGGAAACTACCGGAACAAAGAGAGAGAAAAAAACAACAAAAAATCAACAACAAAAAAAACAAAACACAAAAAAACAACAAAACATCAGCATCATCTTCTTCGATGCAAATGCCAGGGCAGGAGACATCACCAGCACGGCCATCGGCGACAAGGGCTTCAGGCAAAACGAATACCCAAACGGACACCGTCTACATGGGCTTCTCCTGGCCAACCACCTGGCGGCCGCCAACACCTTCGTCAGCCATGGGCCAGAGCATCGCGCCTGGCACTCGGGCAAGGACCCTCATCGCACCGACTACGTCATCATCCCCAAGGGCTACATCGACTCCATCGAGGAGTGCGCCGTGCTCTACGGCATAGACAGCGGCCAAGGCCCAGAGACCAAGGACGACCACTACCCAGTCAAGCTGCACCTTGCCTACCAGATCATCTCGCCCGTCACCAAAGGAGCCCCGAAGTTAGACGAGAGCAAGCTAGCCGACGAAGGGTGCCGCAAAAGGTTCCGCCAACAACTCGACGAGGTCAAACGCCCGCCCTGGGACACCAACCTCAACGATCACCTCACCATAATCACCGAGAAGGTCACGGGGGCTGCGCACGAGTGCTTCCGCTCCAACGGCCGCGCTCCACACAGGCCCTACATCACCAGGCGGTCCTTTGCTCTCCTGCGAGTTCGCCGCTGGCTACTCAAGACGACACGGATCGCCCAGAAAAACGGGGTTGCCAGCCACTTCGGCGACAAGAGGCTACGATACACGGCCAAGATCATCGCGAGGGAAGCCCTCCTGCCCGACCCCGCCGACTTGAGTGCCCTGGCCGATCTCAGCGACTACGCGAAACTTGTGGTGGCCTCTATCATTGTCAGCACTCCCAGCCTAGCGACCCATGTCGTGGAACCCGACGATGCCAACACCGTGCACAGCGCCCAGCACTACTTCGACGCCCATCTCCAATTCCTCAGGACGTCTAAGTCTACCCTACAGAAGTGGATCACGACAGACCGCGACGACTTCCTCGAGAGGACTGCCGACGAGATGGGCGCAGCGATCGACGACCACGCCCCCCGTTTAGAGGCCCTGTACGCCAAGCGACTACTGGCCTTCGGAGGACGAATGTCAAAGAAGCCGCCGACGCCCATCATCCGCACCAACGACGACGGGGAGCCCCTCGCGAAGAAGAGCGAGATCGCCGACCACGCCCTAGCCTTCTACGGCAAAGCTGAGAAGGCTATTGCCACGGATGCAGACGGGGTAGCAGCCGACTACAACAAGAGGACCCGCCACGCAGGACCAGGACCTAATATTCAAAACATAATACCAAAGCACCAGCTGACCAGCCAGCTCGCCGCCGCCAAGCGAGGCCGCCGAGGAGGCCCTGACCAGCTCACCGACGACATGTCCAGAGCCAGCCCTGAAGGGATGGCTCGCCTGCTCCACCCCGTCCTAGTCAAGACCCACTTCGAGAGCACCGAGCCGATCGCCGCCAAGGGCGGGTACTCAACGTATTTCCACAAGGGACAGGGGGCGATGGAGCTCCAGAAATCATACCGCGGCATCCTGCTCAACAACACCATCGGCAAGATGCACAGCACCTTCCTCCGATCCCGCGTGAGGGGCCTGCTACCTGAGCTACTAGAAGCAACCCAGCGTGGCGCCCGTCCCAAGATGGCCACGGATTTCATCACTCACGCCAGCCTCGCCTTCATCAGCGACTGCCAGAGGATATCAAGATCATGCAGCATCACTTTCCTGGACCTCAGGGAGGCCTTCCACTCCGTCATCAGGGAATTCTGTATGCAATTGCCGACCACCGCCGGCGAGCTCAACGAGCTCATCGAACGGATCGACATTCCCGACTTCATCAGACCAGCGCTAAAGGAACGACTTCAGCAGCCCGCCTACAACAACCAGCACATCGACGATGAGCACCTCTGCCACATGATCGCAGATCACCACACCTCCAACTGGATGACAGCCAAGAGCGCAAAGCACTACCAGCTGCCTCGGACCAGCACCCGACCTGGAGTGCCATACTCGGACGTCGCCTTCAACATACACTTCGCCATCATGCTGAGGGCAATCGACCAGACAGTCCGAAATGAAGAGGCCCACGGACAGCAGATAGGCGGACACGAGATAAAGGCCTGCAGTGAGCCTCTCTTTTTCACCTACCCCTCACGAAGGAAGCGCGCTCATAAACATGTCCTTCGTCGACGACCTCACTGACTACAACCCGACCGCCAACGCCAACGAACTGATCAACGCGACCGCTCTGGCAGCTGCCAGGCTCTGCACGGCAGCATTCCAACATGGCCTGAAGCCGCACTCAGAAAAGACCAAGGCCATCCTCATGCACTACGGCGCGGGGGCCAAGAAGGAGAAACAACGGATTGCCAAGGAGGGCATCACATACCTAGAATTGGACGGACTTGCTATCCAAATGCAGCTGGTAACGCAACAGAAAGCCCTCGGTGCCATCATCTCGGCGGGCGGGGTCATGGGGCCAGAGATCTGCCCAAGGGTCAACCATGCGCCTGGCGCAGCCCGGCCCCTTGAGAAGCAGATCTTCCGCCGCAAGAAGCTCTCGAAGAAAGCCATGGTCAAGTGCGCCCACTCTTTTTCGACATCCTCGCTTACGTGCAACCGCCATGTCTGGGGCGACCTGGCCCTGAAGGACCTGAAGCACATATCCGCCAAGTACATGGGCCCATGCCGCGTCGCAGCCTCACTGCCCAAGACCAACTCACCCGACCAGCGCATCTCCGAGGGCGAGGCAATCGCCAAGACAGGAGTACCCGACTTCATCACCCACCAGTCGATCGCGCGGCTACGACACTTGCCCAGACTTCTGAATAAGGCTCCAGCAGTCCTACTTCAGCTACTCGACGGCCAGCCCCGACGAAAGGGCACATGGAGCCACCAGCTCAAGAAAGACTGCGACTTCCTACGACCGCACTTGAGGTGGCCCAGCCAAACCCAGCACGACCGCGACATCATCAACTGGGCTCGACAGAAGCCGAAGCTATTCACCAACGCGGTCAAGGCAGCTTCGAAGGCACACATTCTCCACATTCGCGACCAAGCTCAAGGCGCCAAGCTCCAGAAGGACATCCAGATGACCTCGGCAGCTCACACGACCGAAGGGCTGGACCTCTGCGACGACACCAACAACCAGAAGTACGTCTGCTACGCCTGCGGCCGAGTCGCCTCCAGGCAAGGCATCTTCTGGGCGACAGGTACCGCGTGCCGATGCTGCCAGACCGAGCACCACTCTCTTCCGAGGCTCATCAAGCACTTATCGGTGGCTCACCGTTGCCGCAAGTCCTGGCATGCCTGGCGCACCCAGACGATGGAGCCTCTGACGGAGCAGCAAATAGCAGAGAACCTCGCCGCCATCGCCGAGGCCACAAACGCCAGCAATAAACAAGGACGACACCCAACCTTCAGCGACAAGCCAGCCTACCCGTGCGACGTCACGCCGCTGCCCCTCCTCGAGACGTCGCCCGTCCTACCCGAGGTATTCGCCAGACTTGAGTCATCGCCAAGCAGTCCACCCGCGAGCTCGCCTGCAGAACCAGCCGAGCGCCAAGATATAGTCTTCATCACCGACCGCCCTCGACAGGCTGCCGGCCTCCAGCAGATCATGGCCAACAACGGGATCACGAGCATCAGCGGCCTGGACTACACACAGATCGCAATCCCCTGCGATGGCCAGACCTCAGAATTACCGACACAACTTCGGCGAGAACAACGCAGGATCCTACATGGCGAGGTAGCGGCCATCTACGTACAGCTCCCACGACGAACCTGGTACCTACGCGATGCAACCGACGTTCTAGGCAGCAGAGCAAGCAAGCGGCGCACCCCAGAGGCACCCTGGGGAACGCCTCAAGTCTCCGAGACCATCGCCGACGAGATATTCGCTGCCAACCACGTCACACGAGAGGCCTTGCGTATGATCTTCATGGCGACCACGACCAACGTATCATTCGTCGCAGTCATCTCGGCGGAGCCGATCATCAGACAGACTCCCGAATGTCGGTACATCGCCAACCTGACGACTGTCTACGAGACCCCGACGAATAACTACGACCTGGGCGCCATACAGATCCTCGACAACGGCGCCCGCGACGACCTCCGCAACATAATGCATGCGGCAAACGAAGAGGAGATCGACTTCGCCATCGCCGACCTGCTCGACGGCAACATTGTGGCTAGACGGGGCCTCAGAACCGCAACCGTTGCGCCCGCCAGCCAGAACCTGAACACCAACGACGCCTAGTACATAGAACGAGAAGACGAAGTGCCGCCTCATGCCGAAGACGAACGTCACGAAGGGTGTCACCGACGACAAGCTCAAAGGCGTCAGGACGCAAGTCCTGAGGAAGCCCCGCGTACGCGGGAACACCTCGGGCAGCGTCGCCAAGTTTTGCAAGAGGCGGTAGGACGCAAGTCCTGGGGAAGCCCCGGATGCGTGGGAACACCCCAGGCACAAGTCGCCACGTTTTGTAGTATTGCTGAAGGCAGCGGCCGCGCGAGCAAGAGGTCAGCGGACACCTGCGAGCCGCATTACACACCCACTCCACTCTTGCCAAGCACCACCGACCAGGTACAACCCACGACCCAAAGAACGTCCTACCACACCACACCACAAGTCAACGCTGCCCTGGTGAGGCAAGGATCAAACTTCGAGACGGGCTCGAAGGGTGGGGGGGCAGGACGAGTACTGCCCGCGCCTACCAGGGGGGATGGTGAGGGGCAGAGGGGGGGTAGGACGGCCACTACCCGCGCCCCCGCGGTCCGCCCTAGCTCGCCACCCCCACCATTCCCATGGCGAAGGAGGTGCTTACCCGATCGCCAAAGCGGCGAAGCAGAAGGCAGCCGAGACATTCCCCACCGACGACAGCAGCAAGCACCAGGCCTGGGGTCGCCCCCACCGAGGGCACCGTGACCCCTAGCCATAGCGGGACGAGGTGGGTCCGCCACGAACCCCACTTGAAGTCGGTGCATGGAGGCCTCTCAAGTGCGCCCATAACCCACAACACAACCCCAGCAACAATACGATTTCCCCCCGACCTACCCATAGACACGCAAGACGACCATCCACAACCCATGGGACTCACCACCGACCGACCACCCACCCCGCAACCTCCATCCATCCAACAACCATCACCACCTCGATACCACCTGCCCGCTGAAAGGAGGACAGGAGAAAAGGGTCCTCAGCAGTGCGGCACGACGCAACCATGACGGAGCCCGCTGAAAGGAGGACAGGAGCAGGGTCCTCAACAGCGAGGCTCGAAGAGCACGCCCTGGAGACACCGAAAAGGAGGACAGGAGCAGGGTCCCCAGAACCGAACTCCAGCAGGCACGCCCGCAGAAAGGAGGACAGGAGCAGGGTCCTCAGCTGCGAGGCAGAACAAAGACAAACAACCCTAGAACCTCCACCCCACCAACAACCACCTCGACTTGACCAGCCCGCTGAAAGGAGGACAGGAGCAGGGTCCTCAGCAGCGAGACGTGATGAGCCTACCACAACCTCAGCTGAAAGGAAGACAGGAGCAGGGTCTTCAACAGCTCTGAAGATTGTGAAGGCAAGGAGGCCGCCCACAAGGAGGACAGGAGCAGGGTCCTCAGAAGCGGTGCTCAGCATGCACGACATCTTAGAGGAGCTCACGCCAAGAGAAGGAGGCGGCGCACCGTGCGCCGCGGCGAGGCCGTCCCCAGCCCACGGGCCGAAAGGGGGCACGGCCCGCCCCCCGTGTAACATACGGGGGCCGCCAGCTCAGCCGAGCTGCCACGCGGCAAGAGAAGGTCGGGCGCCCCTCAGCTCGCGAGCAAAGGAGGGGCGCCCGTCGCAAAGAAGTTCGGGGAGGACGAGTTCGGGGCCCACCTGAGGCCGTCGGACTGACGGGCTACGCCGCACCGCCCGTCGGCGCGGCATAGAGCCCTCACTGAAAGGGTTCGCTGAAAGGAGGAGGAGGAGGAGGAGGAGGAGGAGGAGGAGGAGGAGGAGGAGAGGGAGCGAGGAGGAGGAGGAGCAGGAGGAGGAGGAGGAGGAGGAGGAGGAGGAGCAGCAGAGGAGGAGGAGGAGGAGGAGGAGGAGGAGAGGAAGCGAGGAGGAGGAGAGGGAGCGAGGAGGAGGAGGAGGAGGAGGCGGAGGAGGAGGAGGAGGAGGAACACTGAAGACAGCAGGGTGGATGCTCTTCGCCGTGCTCGGCCTCTGGGGGCCCTCGCGGGGCCCCAGGAGCGGCAAAGAACGATCCGACCTTGAGACGGGGGGTCCATGCAACCGGGGACGGACAGACCCCCCTTTAGCAAAACGTGGTTTAGTGAAAACGGCCTGAGGCCCAAACCTGGCGGGCGCAAGCCTGGAAAATAACGGCCACGGCGCCTTCTCGAGAACCGAAAACGGACAATTCACTAATCGACGTGTCACTGTTGGGGGTTCTATCCGCCCCCGAATGCAAACGGGGACGGGGGGGCAGTCAGAGCGTCGGATCTGGCAGGGTCGGGCACGATTTTGCAGAGCCTGGCCGGGCCAGGATTGCACCGGCCCGGGCCAGCCAACGCCCAGAAGGCCAGGTCCCCAGGAAGGGGTCGAGATCTCAGGGGCGCCGCGCCTCACTTCGAGGCGGGCGGCGGCAGACGGCACGAGTGGGAGGGGTCCTGCAGGGAGAGAGGGTCAGAGGGGGGGGAGTGGAGGCACATGTGGATGGCCACCCTGCCTGCCTGCGGGCCTGACCTGCCCGTGGGCCCCGACCCGGGTGCGGCGAAGCGTCCTGACCTGCCCACGGGCTCGCCAGAGCACAGGCAGCACAAGGACATGGTGTGGCTTGCACGACATGTCCTTCGACTATTTCTGGCTGAGGCCGCCTTGAAATGATACACCTCGTATGTGCTAGAACAACGTGCTTTTGATATAAGAACACCGCTTGGCTCTACGAGCATGTCGTGGTAGGCCCAGAGGAATGCTGGGACGGTCCGGCCCTGCTCAACTTCGGGGGGCCGGGGCCCTCGTCGCCACGGCGGAGCGCAGCTCGGGAAAGTGGCGCGTGTGGGCCCCAGGGGAGGTCCGGGGACCGACTTGGCGCGTTTGTTTCAGGGCTCCGGCAAGTTTGCCTGCACAGATTCCCCCCCTTTTCAGAAAGCGCCGAGCCGAGAACTGCTTCCGACTGCAGGGTCGCAGAGTTCGGACTTGAACTGCTCCGTCGATGGACGGACCGCCTTCGCAACAACAAGCTCAGCACAGTCAGCGTGAACTGACGGGGTGGGAGAACAAAACAACCAACACAACAATACAAATCAACGCTGAGCCGAAAAGGCGTGCAAGTGAGTCCACGCTTGCGTAAAGTCCCACCATCCCTCTGGGCGCAGGTGGTCCAGAGCGTTTCGTTTTCCAACTTCCTTCCGTTCCCTGCTCATGAGGTTTACCTCCCCCCCTCCCTGGATCTGGAAGGGGGGGCCCGAGGGGTTAGAGCGTCCAGGATGGCCCAAGGTAGCTCCAAGAGGGTTTTAGATAGCCCAAAATAGTCTCCAAGATAGCCCAAGATATTTCAAGATGGCTCAAGATAGCCTCCGACACGCATCCAAGAGGCCCCACGACCGTTTCAAGTGTCCTCCGAGCCCTTCAATGACCCCCCCAAGAGGCCAACATGGGTTCAAAACCTAAGGGAATTGACTGTTTTTTGCCTTTTCGCTTTTTCGCTTGGGCTCTTGAGGCGTCAAAATGGCTCCAAGATGGCCCAACATAGCCCCAAGAGAGGCCCAATAGGGTCCCAGGACGGCCCCAAGAGCGGTCCAAGAGGGCCCCAAGACGCTCCTTTTGGGTTTCCGAGGGGGGGACCGAAATTAAGACCCCCCTCTTTTTTGAGCGAAGGGGTCCAAGACGACCCCAAGAGGCCTCCCAGACCCCCCAAAAGAGCCCCAAGAGGGCCCCACGACCCCCCAAAGGAGCCCCAAAAAGGTCCTAAGAAGGCCCCCAGAGGACCCCAAGAGGACCCCAAGATGGCGCCCAAATGGCATTACGAGGCTTCGAAGAACCCCTCACCACGACATATGCCCAAGACCCGATTCCTCGTCCTCCTTGTCATCGTCCGTTCCTTTCTTGCTTTTTTCCTGCCTCCTCCCTGCTCCTCTTCATCCTCCTCGCGCCGCGTTCCTCCTGTTCCTCCTCCTCCTCCTTCCCCTCCTCCTTTTCTGTTTCTTTTCCTCCTTCTCAGCATCATCAGCATCATCAGCATCATCATCATCAGCATCCGCATCAGCATCAGCAGCATCAGCATCAGCATCAGCATCATAATCAGCATCAGCATCAGCAGCAGCATCATCATCATCATCATCATCAGATTACTCCTCCTATTACCCCCAGGATGGCCCCAGGCATCACCAGCAACAGCGGCACCACTTGCCCCAAGATGGCTCCAAGAGGGCAACAGAGCACCACAAGCAGCAACACCAGCATCACCACCACCGCCACCAGCACCACCATCACCAGCAGTCGCACGCGAGTTTAAGATACACTTCGCTGCGGGGGCAGAGATCAAGTGCGACTCTCAACTGTGCGACAAGGACGACGAATGATAGATACAGTCGCCTGCGCCAGCCACAGGGGAACACCCAGGCGTATCTTGCACTGGTTTGCATCTTAAGCTTCGCTGCGGGAAGCTATGTGTGATCCTTGTTTCTCGTGGCCCAGGGTGAGTACAACCACCTGCGCTAGAGACGTTTACCACGGGGAGCAACACGTCGCATCTTGCACGGACTTCCATCTTAAACTTCCATGCGGGAAGCTATGTGTGATCCTTGTTTTCTGGAAATGGCCGCGCAACTGCATGCTTCCAGCCGCCCCTGATTCACCAACTCCCCTGCTGATCGTTTCTGGATGGGTTGGTGGGGATACCTTTTGGTACGCGGGCGCGCGAAACGAGTCGAACGCCTGGCATGCAGGGGCAGGCTGTGCCGCCTGCAAAGGGGGCTGGTGGGGATACTTTTTGGTTCGCAGGCGCGCGAAGCGGGTCGGACGCCGGGCAGGCAGGGGCAAGCTGTGCCGGCTGCGAAAGGAAAACAGAGCAACGAACGACGCCCGGTGCGGAACGAGACTCAGCGCGGCCAAAATGGCGCGAAGTGGCGGAGCGGCACCATGAACACGAGCTGGTGGGGATTTTTCGTTGCGGCCGCAAGCGGAAGCGCCGGCGGCGTCCGAAGTCAGCCTGGGCTACGAGCCAAAACTAATTACCTAAGCGCACGGACTAACGGCCGCCGGAGCTACCGCCGAAGGAC